CGGAGAGCTTGGAGAAATCCTTTTCTGTGCTCCGAGATACTGATACAAGGTGGACAGAAGCTTGCTTGCAATCGAAGACAGACTGCTCAGACTCCGCCAGCAAGGTGATCACGGCGCCATTTCAGATCCAGGAAGGCTGATGAGCGCAGAGGATTGCAGAGAAGGGGAGCTTCGAGGACAGGAGATGCTCTGCAAGGATCTTATTGCCACTCACAACAAATGAACCTTTCTGAAGCTCAACCGCGATGACCCACAGTGCCTTCTTTCCGGCCGGAGGCCGAGGCCGAGGCCGAGAGTCGGACTGCTTTCAATCAAGAGAAAGAGAGCTCACTGAGAGCTCACTGAGAGCACTGAGGGCAGTCCTTTTGGAATCGAAGATTGCTACGCCGACGCTCGCACAGTCTCTCAGCGCCGCAGCGGAGCGTGCTCACGCGCAAGATTGCGAGCCCATGTAAAACACCCGAAGCTGACCTTTCTTTATGCCCCAACCAACTTACGGGGTCTGTTATCTGTTTCTCTTCCCCAACACTAAATCCTCAACCGTCTTAACCCTGTAGCACTTGACAGCAAGAATGGAAGGGCTGCGAACATCCGCGTAGTGCCCAACCGATCAAGCTGGATTGGCTCCCAAAGATTACTCAGAAGCAAGGATGTCAAACTGCTTGTTGGCAAGCAACCGGGACCTTCGACGAAAGATTTGCTCCGGTTTGCTTCCCGTCCCTACGCCATCTTCCAGCTTCAGCCCAGGAAATGCGGATCATCTTCTGAAGGGCAAGCACACATCTTCCGCCGCAATGCGTGTGCCAGAGCTAGGGGGTGGCAATAAATAAAGCCTGACGTTTTGTCCAGGGTGCGGAAATGGATCATGAGCCCATGGGAGTGAAGGACAATGTTGTGCCTCCTGATACACATCCGGCAGGGGGACTGCCGCTTCAGTGGCCAGCTTTCAAAGTCCGGGCGACGCGCATCGGGGTCAGGCAGACGGCAGACGGCAACCCCGACCAAGAAGGACCTGCCCATACCAACTGTTCACGGAAGGTGAAAGGCCTTGCCGGGTTCAAAGAATCAATCTTCGGCTTTCTGGTCGACGAGCCTTTTGAAACCTTCAGGATCTCGTGGCATCTGTAGAAACTTGACAAAAATTCGGATCGCGCGACTCCTCTGTGTGCTGGCCCTGCCACCCTTCCAGGATCTAGAAATCCTCACCCCTTAGACTCAGCCCCGAAGCTGTACAAAGCCAATGCATCAAAGCAGACAGGGCTGGCGGATTCAAACGCCTCAAGCTCCTGTCAGTACCTGCCCTGGGCAAACTGCGTCCACTGCGCCGCGGCACAGAGCCGAGAGCCGAGAGAGCCGAGAGAGCCACTGTGGGTCTTACCCGGAGAAAGCCGGGCCGAAAGCCGGGCTGTCAGTCCCGCCGCCGCTACCGCTACCGCCTCCGTGCCTTTCGATTCGAGAAGCAGCAGCCCTGCCTTCCCGCAATGCGACAGAGCGTACGGCTCGTGTCAGCCTGAATGACACGAGGCGAGCAGAGGCCACAGTTTCCGAAAAAAACCAGCCGTGCAGTTCGGAAGATCATGCCTGCGCTCCGATGTGGCAAAGAGCCCTAAAGGCTGGCTTCACTGATAAGATCTACTTTCCCGAGACGCAAGCATCCTGCGGGATGCAAAGTCTGTGGGAAACGAGCGACGCAAGTCTAAGCCTTTTCCAGCACAGGTCGAAGCAGAGGAAAGATTCCTAAGCCTTTGGACCGAATCCACACTTCTTCACATCCTGCCGGCCGTGAAGCGAAGCTCGTCCTCAGATGAGCACATGTTTCAAGATGTCGTCTGAACAACACAACAATTCCCACTCTACCTGCCTTCGGCCTGAACTTCCTGAGGCAGAGCGCTGCCGCCTCCGCGTCCCGCCGGGCTGCACAGCGCCCGCGTTGAAGCAGAGCCGGACGTAGCCATCGTGGTTTGAAAAGGAAGTCCAAACAGCTCAACACACTGGCTACCGAAAACAGTTGAGGTGGAGTCGATGAAAATGGCTCAGCACGAAGCAAAGTCTAGAAACGATGCAGGTGGTCTAAAAACGGCAGCGGTGCGAAAGATGCAGAAGCCAATGTTGCAAGCAACAGGCTATGACTGAACCGACCCCCCTCCAAATCTGTTAGTTTATTCCCCTATAGCCACCAGGTTTGGGGTCCATCACCCCGATCTTGGGGAAAGCGCCCAAACCTCTGGGCAGCTGGTGTCCCGACCTGCTGTCAATTTGAGTCGGTGTCCCGGTCGTGGTGTCCCGGCGTCGGGTCCCGTTCCGGTCGCGTGTCTTGATCGTGTCCCCGTTATTTGTGGTTTCGAAGTGGTGCCCCAATGCTAAGAAGTACGACTTGTTGCCGTTGCTTGCGGTTTAGAAGTGGTGCCCGCGCTAAGAAGTACGATTTGTTGCGGTTCCTTGTGTTTTCGGCGTGGGCGTGGTGACCCAATGCTAAGAAGCACGATTTGTTGCCGTTGGTTGTGGTTTCGAAGTGGTGCCCCAGTGCTAAGAAGTACGATTTGTTGCCGCTGTTTGTGGTTTCGAAGTGGTGCCCCGCAGTGCTAAGAAGTACGATTTGTTGCTGGCGTTTGTGGTTTCGAAGTGGTGCTCCAGTGCTGCGAAGTACGAATTGTTGCCGTTGTTTGTGGTTTCGAAGTGGTGCCCCAGTGCTAAGCAGTACGATTTGTTGCCGTTGTTGGTGGTTTCGAAGTGTGCCCCAGTGCTCAGAAGCACGATTTGTTGGCGTTGTTTGTGGTTTCAAAGCGATGCCGCAGTGCTAAGAAGTGCGATTTGTTGCCGCTGTTTGCGGTTTCGAAGTGGTGCCCCAGTGCTAAGAAGTACGATCTGTAGCCGTTGCTTTTTGTTCCCGTTGTTCGTGGTTCCGGAGTGGTGCCCCAATGCTAAGTTGTTGCCGTTGTTTGTGGTTTCGGCGTGGTGCCTCAGTGCTGAGCAGTACGATTTGTTGCCGTTGTTGGTGAGAAGTACGATTTGTTGCCGCTGCTTGTGGTTTCGAAGTGGTGCTCCAGTGCTAAGAAGTGCGATTTGTTGCCGTTGTCTCCGGTTTCGGCGTGGTGTCCCAAAGCTAAACAGTACGATTTGTTGCCGTTGTTTGTCGGTTCGAAGTGGTGCCCCAGTGCTAAGAAGCACGATTCGTTGCCGTTGTTTGCGTTTCGAAGTGGTGCCCCAGTACTAAGAAGTACGATTTGTTGCCGTTGTGTGTGGTTTCGGCGTGGGTGTGGTGACCCAATGCTAAGAAGCGTGATTTGTTGCCGTTGTTTGTGGCTTCGGAGTGGTGCCCCAGTGCTAGGAAGTACGATTTATTGCCGCTGTTTGTGGTTTCGAAGTGGTGCCCCGGTGCTAAGAAGTACGATTTGTTGCCGTTGCTTGTGGTTGCTAAGAATTACGATTTGCTGCCGTTGTTTATGTTTTCGGAGTGGTGCCCCAGTGCTAAGAAATACGATGTGTTGCCGTTGGTTGTGGTTTCGAAGTGGTGCCCCAGTGCTAAGAAGTACGATTTGTTGCCGCTGTTTGTGGTTTCGAAGTGGTGCCCCGCAGTGCTAAGAAGTACGATTTGTTGCTGGCGTTTGTGGTTTCGAAGTGGTGCTCCAGTGCTGCGAAGTACGAATTGTTGCCGTTGTTTGTGGTTTCGAAGTGGTGCCCCAGTGCTAAGAAGTACGATTTTGGCCGCTGGAGGTTTCGAAGTGGTGCCCCAGTGCTAAGAAGCTCGATTTGTGGCCGTTGTTTGTTCAATGACTTCTGACTGCTATTGGGGTCCGCACCTGAGTTGATTACTAGTTTATTTGTTTTTTTGGTTTGTTGATTTGCTGATTGCTTGGTTGGTCGCAGGTAGGCTGGCGTTTATTGACTTTGCTTGGAAGTGTGGATCCGGATTCGCTTCGTCTCATTTTGGTTTGCTTTGTTTCTCCTTCGGCTTGCTCTGGTCCTCCCGGGCAGCGTCCAACAATATCCTAGTCCCTCATCGGACCCCCTCCAAACCCACAACGTCCTGAAGCATTGAACTAGCTGGAAGCTGGGTCAGTGTGCGACTTACACTGAAGGGGCGGGTCTTGTTTTCCCGAAAAAGCAAAACGCAGCGGGCACCTGGCTGCAATGTGCATCACAGATGCCAAGTAATGATCTCAAAGTCAGCGAGGCGAGCGTGCAATGAGATTTCACGGGACAGCATGTTTTCTGCAGGGACACGGTAGGCCCTCATTTCTGGCCGCCACAGGCCACTAGATTGTGAGAAGGTGCCAAGACCCAGGAGAGCTTGACAAACGCAACTGCAAGCTTCAAGAACCCCACCGAATTGCTCTCAACATGTTCCTCACGACTGCAGCCTGACGTCGGCAACACATGCACACTCATTATGAGCCATTCTTGAAAGCCGAGCATCCTACAGCGGGGCTGGAAGCGGCTAGCGCCTCTCCGTTATCGCCTTTCTCCTTGCGACTCTCAGGGGCTCAGTTCACGGACACGGCAGCTGTCAGCACTGGCCAAGCTCCCGCTTTGCCCCGTGGCAGCTGAAATCGCATCGCGTGTCGTGTCTGAATCGTGTGCCGTCGTTCCATTATAGACTAGCAGAGTAGGCTGCACGCCTGCAGGCTTGCTCTTCCAACGCTATGGTAACAGCGTGAGTGGCTACACTAGTGTACTCTGCGCTTTTGCCCTGTCGCTGAAGCCAAAAATGCTGAAAAGCATACAGACCACATCATATCATGCAGCAGGTGCCATCTTCCCCTTGCCCTCTGTCGAAGAGTGGAGACCGACAGGTGATGACCGGCAGGAAGCGAAGGCAGTGTAACAGAAGGGAGTCTTGCGCTGCGCCACGAAGCGTGATTCTGAGTCGCCATTTACTGCGCAACGGCGCGCAAGAATTCAGTCTCAGGTCTCAGGCTGTAGGCAGCGGCAAAGCTTAGCTTATTGCGCACCGCCAACCCGCAAGGCCCTATCAGCTGGCAATCCTTGCTGCAGGGGTTCTAGGCCTGAGGCTGCTCTGGCATCCCCCATTCATAGACTGCCTGCATCAGCTTGCCCAAAGAATCGGCATCGATGGGTTCTTTCCGGTCTCTTTTGAAGCGGAAGCCCGTCTGGGCATCACATATGCAAGCGATGCCGGGGCCAAGTGCTCGAACCTTCTCGTAATACCGCGAAAGCCAAGAAGAAGCATTGGAAGCATTGATCCCTCCCGTGAAGCCAATGGCTCGACCCAAACCCCTCTCAGGATTGCGAGGGTCGTCAGGGATGTCCGGCACGTCATCCGGTGTCTTCCCTGTCCCACCAGACTTGTCGAAGAACGGGACGATGTTCTTTGCACGCTGATTCTCTGATTTGGAGGATGGATTGTGCCAAGTTTGCAAGACTTTTTGAAAGAAGGGCCAGGAGTCCGCAGTGTCCGTTTGAAAGATAGGAATGAGAAAGTTCGTGTCTGGATATTGCCTGGCTAGTTCGGAAATCTGGGCGGCAGCGCTTTTCTCGTCGATCTCACGGCCAGGCATCAGCAGCTTTTCTGGCACACCACGCGCATTGATGTTGATCTGCACATGGCGTGCCTTATACTTGCTTCCACAGAGCATGTCAATTAAGCGCACTGCCCTGGGCTCCCCTTTCAGCAGTGAGCTGACATACGGGCACTTCTCACTTTCACTGAGGTGAAACGACAGCCATGTTCCAGCGGGCATCGCTGCAATCATGTCGTCAATCTCATGCCATGCAGGATAGGTTGCGCCGTTGGTATAACGCCGCTTGTCCAGCGAGGACCCGAGCGTGTACCCGTCCTCTGGCTGCCAAGGAAAGCCTTGGTATGCCAGTTGAAACGCGGCCACCGGAACCACCCGACGGGCAGCACGAGGCGGAGTGAGCACCCTGCACAACAGTTTCTTATCCAATGTGACATCCAGGCCACAAATGCCAAATTCAAGGCATGGTGACCTGCATTTGAGCAAGAATGCTTTGATCTCGCTGTGGCAATTGTGCTTCTCAGAGGACATCGTCCCTGCCTCGGAACACTTCCGGTTTGACAGATCCAACGCCGTGCAACCGTCATTGTCCTCCTGGTCCAAGTCGGCCCCATTGGCAACAAGCGATCGTAGAACGCCAACTTCAGCAGCACGGTCCACTGCTACCATCAATGGAGACATTCCGCGGCCATCACTCTTTTTCATTGCCATATCCAGCGATTCGTGAGAGGGCAAGGGGTTCTGTTTTGTCAAAAAACGGCGTAGCAAAGTCCACTCCTTGCGAACCATCGTTGTGTGAATCGGCCTTCGCACCCGGACAAAGTCGACCATCGCCATGGTGAAGAACTTTATCTGCAGGAACCTTAGCAGCCACGTGTCCACGGTGTAACATGTCTCAGGCGGCTGCGCGCATCCCAGCACTACAGCAGATTCACTGATACCCTTATGCTTCCTTCTAGGTTGTTTGACTAAAATATCTTGTGACCCTGCCGGAACTCCGTCTGTCCAAGCAAGACGGACACAAGACAAAAGCAGGTCTCAGCAACGGGGGGGAGGCGTAATCTGAGGCTGCAGCTCCAGAGCGAGAACCTCGGCCGACTGGGCACGCCCGATCTTTCCGTCGCTCCAGGTCAGCACAACGGGCACACAGCCATGCAACATGGCATCCGTGACACTTCGCAGCCAGGCGTAAAACCAAGCGTCTCCCCAATCCGAAAGCCAAACGACTGCAAAATGCATGCCGTCCTCCAGGCAAATGCGTATGACGGTGTTGTAAAGCTCCGGATCTGCACCCGGAATTGACACGATGGCGATGCCTCTTCCGGCCAAACTGTCCCGCTCACTCCCTCGAAAAACGTCCTTTCGCTCTGCCGGAGATCCGAATCCAGCGGACGCCACTGACATATGGCCTTGACCACCGGCACCAGCATCATTGCTTGCCACAAGGCCCTGGCTCCAGTTCTGCAAGATGTCTTTGGCAGACTCCCCATCCCTCTTTGGGCACGTCTTGGCGATCATCCAGGCTTCTGATTCCAATAGCCTTTTCAAGTAGTCCAACGGTGTCTGGCCGTGATAAGGTGGACCACTGGCAGCTGGCGAACGCACGATCTTCAAGCTACTCCTGCGTGGAGGTTGCAAGTAGTCGCGAATGATGTCTGCAGAAACTGGTGCAGAGGGAGTGCATGGTTTCTTAACTCCTGGACGGTCATCCTTCAGTAGTGGTGGCAGCAATCCACCACGATTGCCAACTAACACGAAGTACCTGGCAGCAATGGAGCCTGCAATGAAAACATTAGGAACATTAGGAGTCTGCTCCGTCCCAACAGGCTTCACTGAGAATGTCAACTGCTCAATATCTGTCACCAGGTAGTCCGTGTCCGAGTACAAGACCTTTGTGTCGGAATCGCCCAGAACTAGGCTGCCATCAAACTGTGGATACACCTCTCTGCCCTTCGCTGGGTTGAAACTGCTTTCGGCAACCATCTTGGCAAACTCTAAGCACCTGCCGATCGAAAACTCGTCTTTCTTCTTGTCACGGACGCCCGACTGGGCCTCAATAAATACATGCCTTCCTTGTGGTACGACCCATCGCATTTCATGAAGTTTCTGCAACACATTTCCCGGACCAAAGCCCCCGGCATATCCGACCAGCCTGTCCTGATCACGCGACAAGGGGCATTTGTATATGGTGGATTCCTCGCCCAATCCTCGTGAGGAGTTGTACAGCACCTGTATCTTTGCCGGTTTCGCTTCCCGAAGAAGGAGATCGAGAAGCAGCTCGCCCTGATGATGAGAGTCGCCGTGATCGCGAATGGCAAGCACGAAGACGAGCTTGTCGAACCTGTTCATCAACCCGAGAAGCCTTTCCGCGCAGCGATGTACTTTGGCATCCGTAAGGTCCTTGACCTTGCGGCTCCTACTAAAGCGCGACCAGTCCAGCAAGACCTTCTGGAAACCGCACTCCACAAGCCAGTCGAGAAATCCACTGCCCTCGTCATCGAGCAAGCAAGTGTCGAAGGGCTCTCCAAGCAGATGTGCACAGAAGCGCGCTCTGGAGGAAGCCCCATCTTGCTTCAACACCTGCAAAAAAGGATTCGGGTGTACAGAGTGTGGCTCAAGGATAAGCTTTTGGGCTGTGATATGAGCCAGGCCTGTGCGATTCTGTCCAATCGCGGGTATTTGCTTGCAACCTCCTCATTGCTCGTGCCGTAGTCGTAGGACTCTGGCAAGCCCAGCCCAACTCCCGCATCTGTGTTTCGAGTTGGCAAACTATGTGTGGAAAAAAGAACTCCGAACTCGATCCAGTGCCGGCCTTTGACAATGGAATCCAACTCTTTCAACTGCTTTTCTCCAGGACCAACAAAGCAAACATGCCTCAGCATCGTCGCATCATGCGGCTGCCAATCAGCGGATCTTTGTTGTAGCTCTTCTTTCGAAAGGTTAAGCCTGATCTTCATGCCGACTTCTAGAGGGTCCTTGTCAGATCCGTGTGTGCTTTCTGGGTTTGTACTTACACCACCAGGGGATGCTTCTTCATCGTACCGCAACACAGACTGAATTTTCTTGAGGTTCGTCTCCAAATCGGCAGATGTACACCAACTTGCGAAATTTCCGATGCTGAGTTCCTTCCTCAAATCCTGAGAAGTGTCACGGGCATGCCAGCTGCGCAAGTCCTCCAGGAAGTCTTCGACTCGAACGTCGGCCTTGCAGAACTTATCCGCCATCTGCACCAGGCATCCCTCAACCAGCTTCTTCTCTGACAACTTTTCCAACAAACGTATGAGAACCGACTTGGGAACGAGACCCCCCTCGAAGTCCTGAGGCGGGTCCAATGAAGAGCAGCACCAGCCAAGTACACACACTTGCAAACTCCATGGTGGGAGTAGCTAGAGCGATTTACTTCCTAATGCAGGTACACAGATTGGCGTCCCAATCTGCTTCACGGAGTATCCACAGCCGTCTTCGTTGGCAGCAGAACTGTGGACTCCCTGCTGCCCCCTGCTTTTTTGATCAAGAAACGCCCTTTGCTATCAGGGATTCACACACACAGCTACTCCTCTGTGAGGAGTAGCAGAAGAGTTGTGGCAAATAAAACTTTGTACAACAGTTTGCTCTCAACTGGCCAACGTGTTGGCAATATGCACGAATTAATAAAGTCGACTCTCAGGGAGAAACATCTCGCTTTCGCTTCCGAACAGAACTGGATGCTGCGGGTTCAATCTGTGTCTCAGACGAGTAAGACGTCGGAGATCCTTGGGGGCTTTGCATGCCCCGGGCGTCTGCAGCAAGGCGATTTTGGATCCAGTTTTGTGTGGCTGGAAACCAATTCTTCCACCAAAGTGAAGAACCATCAGCTGCAGTGAAATTGGTCCAGTAGTATCGCCATGAAATCGTTGGAGAACGAGATCTACTGCGATCAGCCATGGCGAATTTCTCTGAGAGCCAGTACTTAAAGTCACTGGATCACAGATAAAGATCTATTGTGAAAAGCCGAGAGCAGCAAACGTTTTTCCGCTTCGCTGCACCAAGATTATTATGGCATGTCAGCCAGGGGTGAAATGACACGAAACACTCTCACATCGGTACATGGTGAGGTGATCCCCGATAAGGGGTTCCTTCAGCTGCAAAGGTCCAGTCACCGGGCGGTGCATTTCTGGGCTTCGGTGAAGGGCGAAGATCATGTTGTCTTGGGCCCTCAGTCACCGGTTCTTGTTCCGGTGGTCGTCGGTCTCGTCGACTGCGTGATCGGTGCCGGTGGTGTCGCCTGTGACGATGGTGCCGGCGGGGTCCGTCATCTTCCGATCTCGCTCGAATTGCACGCTGCTGGGTAGAACTCCTAGGAGGATTATCCTCCCCTTGATTGGGTGTCCCAGCGAAGAAATTGAAGACATACGACATTGCAGACAAATCACAAGAACTGGAAAAGTTCAGAGCCAATCTGTAATGCATAGAATCATGAAGTGGCAGTGTAACCCGCAGGAGACAGCACTTGCATTATGCAGTGCAGTTTGTATTTTCTCAGGATGATCTCCTTTGCTCGAGGAAAGATGCACCGGCTTTTGCCAGAAGCTGAGGATCGTACCCAAAATTGGTGTACGTCCGAATAAGAGTCTGTACATCAGCCTCGGCTTGGGAAAAAGGAAAAGCTGTTCGGCTTGCCAGACAAATTCTGGCATAGGCAGCTGAGAGCTTGTGAGCATCAGTGCCTGCCGTATTGAAAGGTCGAAATTGATGTCTGGCGGTAGGTTGTCTGTACTCAAGAGTGCGAGCTTTGGGATTTAAAGTGGTTCCCAGGAACTCGCCGTCAAGTACCTCCTCAAGTTCCACTGGATGTTCGTAAAAGAACGGAGAAGGAATTGTTGGAAAAACCAGCGTTGGGCCGTCTGTTCAGAACAGAGCACCAACCGATTGTCCACATAGCGAATGATGTAGACTTGTGATCGCAGGGCTTCCAAAGCCAGACGATTGGAAATGGACCACTGATTTTCTTTGTACGAAACTGCAACATTGGCCAGAGACGGTGAGATCTGGTTTCCAATGGCAGATCCTCTTGTTTGCTTAAGAATTCGTCCCATCTGCGAAAAGAAGGACGTCTCGAGTGAAAGCTGACAGATGGCCGACAGGTCTTTTAAATAGATTACGCCGGTCCTCGATTTCTGGCGCTTGTAGCTGCCTTGAAAAATTCGTAGTCGTGGTTCAGAAGCTCCGAGCTGTACAGTAAATTTGATCTTGTCAAAAGGTGTGGATTGTAAAGCAGCGTACGAATCAATCAAATGATCCACTGCTTCCATGATTTGCGTGGTGGGCAAGCTTGTAAAGAAGCCCACCAAGTCTTGATTGAACTCTTTGAGTTCAATGTCTTCGTCGGCATTGGACAGAAATTGATGCAAGCTTTGGAAAATCTGAGGTAAAGATTGATGGCCATAGCTTTCAGGAAACACCACAGGCAGCAGAATGTTGAGAACACTGCTGGCTGCCTGGAAAAGACGGCCAAAGGCAAAATGTCGATATGAAATGATTGGTCTGGCACCCAGAAACTGCTTCTTGTGTTTCAAAAGAAGGTACGAGCAGGGTAGCTTTGCTGTCTCCTGCATCCCCCATTTGTAAGGTTTTAGCCAGGCCTTTTTCGTCAAATTTCCAAGAAAGGCTTTGGCCTGGTTGGGCGTCAAAAGAGACGGCAGGTAGACTTCTTCATCGCCAAAGGTACTGCGAAGTATGCACCAGTAGAAAAGAGGGCAGAAAATGTGAAGATGATGGGTGCATGGTCTCGGCCTTGCACCACGTAGCCATCAATGACAGACTTGATGTACTTGACATCGTCAAAGGAAAGTGGGGTT